CGCCGAAACTATCGGCACTGCCGTTTCTGCTCTGCTCCTGCTACATGCTGCTGCCTCTGCATGCGGTGTGAATGCTCTAATCTGTTAACATGCGCACCGAAAAAAAATATGCGCTGCTTTCGCGTGCAGTGTGACCCCTTATTTACACTGCACACGTCTGTGGCACATTACGGCTCCGAAGAAGTTTTGTTACATCCTCCACGCGGTGCCAACTCACCCCTGATTTACACTGCACACATCTGCGGCTACCGGAACTGATCGCGGTCAATTCTAGTCAATGCTTGTATTTACACCAGACGCGCCGCGGCACGTTTCAAAAGGGGCCCAGAAGCGGCTCTCCGTGCTGCTTCGCTAAAGATAGGCGCCTAGTCTATTTTTGACGGACACATGACATCACAAATCCTTTTTACAAGGACAATGAGCAACCAAATAACATGCCAAATAACCAAATAACGGTGCCAACTCACACCAGAAGCGCATCAGAAGCGCAGCGGTAGGATTCGCGAGACCACGTGATTTGCCTGTCAAATGTTGTTTGGTTTTGAAACATGCCGCATTGACTAGAATGACCGCGATCAGTTCCGGTAGCCGGAGCCGTAACGTGCCGCAGACGTGTGCAGTGTAAATCAGGGGTTAGGTGTTTTCGACTTAAAGCGGCGCTGAGCAGACCGATCTGTTAATGGATACTTTGATATCATAAACCCACAGCGCCGCTTTAAGTTTAACGCACCTTTTGTTTGGGGTGTTCGGTGAGTTCCGTCACGATATAGCCTAACATCATTCAAGCCTACCAATCAGGGCTGCGTTCAGCCCCGACAAAACGGTGCAAAACATTTTTTAAACGGAAACGGTGGTGCGTTGAACACCCTGTTTTGATGATGCAAAAGTTGCAACTATGGCAGCTGAAAAGGCCATTCTTTGTGTTCTTTTTGAAGAATTTTCGGAGCCTGATGAAATCGGTATAAATACGTGTTTAAAACTGCAAAATACGCTCGATGTTACAGTCACTGCCCTTGCCATCCAGAATAAAAGAGAACATCCCAATCGAGTGATGGGATTTGTGGAAACTGTGGTTCCTAATTATTGTGATCCAACATTTGCCTCGCATTTCAGGATGAAAAGACAAACATTTCAGCTGAAGGATAATCCACTTCTTACCTCTGAGACTGTGTTATGATCTATATGACCTTATTATTTTTATTGTGAGTATTAGGCTTATCATTACTGCTAATCACTGTTGTTGTGTTATGATATTGTAATATTTACCATTATATAATCAGAAGAGTATAGAAAGGTTTATGAAAGTGTCGCTCCACAATACAGTAGCAAAATATGTAAATATGTATAGTATTTTTGTTACATTAATCAGTGTCTAGCACACCTTCCTAAGGAAAGGATATGGACCAGAAGACATTGCAATTACTAAATGATATTTAGACAGACTTAAAGAAATTCCAGATCTATACGTGTGCTCTTACTCAGTTATTTTGCCTTTAATGTAAATAAACGTGCAAACAATATACTTGCTCTTGTGAATTTATTTTGATGTTAATTACGTTATGCGGGCAGTCTCTTTAATACCGCGTGGTTTATATACATGTTGCTGCTGATTGGGCTGACATTTTTGACACACCCACCAAACAAAGAGAAAACGTATCTCAAACCCCGTTGCACACCGTTTCTAGGAAACATGCCATTCAAACCAGAAACCGTAGCAAAACGTTGCGCACCGGTTTGAGCTTAAACTTGCCCCAGGTTGTGAACGTATCACTATACCTTTAGGTTCGCTGTCAAAAATGCCAATGTGAACGCTAAGCGGACCAGGACCAAATGTATCATTTTCCTTTTTGGTCCGGACCAAATGAACCAAACGAACCGAACTACAAGTGTGAACACACCCTAAATAAAGTGATAAAGAGTTTTAAGAAAGATTCATAACGATAATCAGCATCAGGAACTCTGAATAAATACTATCCAGTTTTATTTTATATATATATATCTGGTTCACAATTTCAATGTAACTAAACTTTTATACATCTTAAACCTCAGGACTTGTAAATACATTTACATTTAGTCATTTAGCAGACACTTTTCTCCAAAGTGACTTACAAATGAGGACAAAATAAAAAAAAGAGTTTTCCACGACTGTGTGTTTTTAAATTACACCAGAGAAGACACAGCTGTGCGAAAGATCATATGTGCTTTGATTGTGGGGAAACCTTCATTACATCTGATAAACTGAAATGACACCAGATAATCCACAGTGTTTCCACGTAATCCATGTTTTGTTAACTGTATAATGAATAAAAAGAAAACAAATAGAATACAAAAAGATTAGAGAAGCAAGTGTTAGTTTTTTTTAAAGAAAACAAGTAGTTATTAAACGAATAGAGTGCAAGTCTAAAAGGGGCAAGTTTTTTTAAAGAATAGAATTAGAATAGAAACTGTTAAGAGTTAGAGGGTCAAATAAAGATGGAAGAGATGTGTATTTAGCTGATTCTTGAAGATGGCTAAGGACTCAGCTGCTCGGATTGAGTTGGGCAGGTCATTCCACCAGGAGGGAACATTTAATTTAAAAGTCAGTGAAAGTGATTTTGTGCCTTTTTGGGATGGCAAAATAAAGTGATGTTCACTTGCAGAATGCAAGCTTCTAGAGGGCACATAAGTCTGAAGTAATACATTTAGGTAAAGGTGTGCAGAGCCAGTGATGGTTTTGTAGGCAAACATTAATGCCTTGAATTTTATGCGAGCAGCTATTGGAAGCCAGTGCAAACTGATTAACAGAGGTGTGACGAGCATTCTTTTTGGCTCATTAAAAATTAATCTTGCTGCCGTGTTCTGGATTAATTGTAAAGGTTTCATAGAACTGGCTGGAAAACCTGCCAAGAGAGCATTGCAATAGTCCAGCCTGGACAGAACAAGAGCTTGAACAAGGAGTTGTGAAGCATGTTCCGAAAGAAAGGGCCTGATCTTCTTGATGTTGAATAAAGTCAATCTGCAGGACCGGGCAGTTTTAGCAATGTGGTCTGAGAAAGTCAGCTGATCATCAATCATAACTCCAAGGTTTCTGGCTTTTTTTGAAGGAGTTATGGTTGATGTGCTTAACTGGATAGTGACATTGTGATAATGCGATGGGTTTGATGGAACCACAAGCAGTTCTGTCTTGGCAAGGTTGAACTGAAGGTGATGGTCCTTCATCCAGCAAGAAATGTCTGTTAGACAAGCTGAGATGCGAGCAGCTATCGTCGGATCATCAGGATGGAATGAGAGGTATAGAGTTGATTGTCATCAGCATAGCAGTGATATGAAAAGCCATGTTTCTGAATGACAGAACCTAATGATGCCATGTAGACAGAAAAGAGAAGTGGTCCAAGAACTGAGCCCTGAGGCACCCCAGTAGTTAGATGTAGCGACTTGGACACCTCACCTCTCCAAGATACCTTGAAGGACTTATCTGAGAGGTAAGACTCAAACCATGGAGTGCGGTTCCTGAGATGCCCTTTGCCAAAACAGGAGGATCTGGTGGTTAACCGTGTCAAAAGCAGCGGACAGATCCAGCAACATAAGTATAGAAGATTTAGAATCCGCTCTTGGTGGTCTTAGGCAAGGCAACTGAGAGCAAGGCAGTCTCGGTTGAATGTCCACTTCTGAAACCAGACTGGTTGCTGTCGAGGTGGTTGTTCTGTGTGAGAAAGGCAGAGACTTGGTTGAACACAGCCTGTTCAAGTGTTTTTGCAATGAAAGGAAGAAGGAAAAAATTTGTTTTTGCAATGAAAGGAAGATTGTAAATATTTTACAATCCCACAACTGTGATTTTATGAATTCCTAGAAATTAACATAAAATATCAAAATTAAACAAAATGTATCAAATAAATAAACTTTGGGTAACAGGCCTGTTAATTTAGTGTAATTTATTAGTGTAACTCTCATTTATAGTTACCTATATAAAAAATATAAAGTTTATAATATTTTATAATAAATATTATATATTTAATGAAGTTATTTTCATGCTAACTTTGGTAACAGAGTTGATGAATGCACTCAATACTACACAAATGTTTGTATGCAATTGTCTACCTCTTGTTATTACATCAGGGTTTACTCTCTTTGATTATTTATGATTTACTGAAAATTAAAGCTTTTTACATTCATTTTAGACTTCATCAAAGAGAAGGAGGAGACTGAAGACCTGAGTGAAGCAGAGGAGAAACCTCATCATGTCAAATCTTTGAGTCACTCACAGACTGAGAAATTTTTTTCCCTGAAAAGAAGATCCAAAAAATCTTTCACCTGCCTTCAGTGTGGGAAAAGTTTCAGACATAAAAGAAACCTTAGTGAACACATGAATATTCACGCTGGAGAGAAACCACACACATGTGATCAATGTGGAAAGAAATTCAGACATAAAAGAAACATTAATGAACACATGCAAATTCACACTGGAGAGAAACCACACACATGTGATCAATGTGGAAAGAGTTTCAGACATAAAAGAAACCTTAATGAACACATGAAAATTCACACTGGAGAGAAACCACACACATGTGATCAATGTGGAAAGCGTTTCAGACATAAAGGACACCTTAATGATCACATGAAAATCCACACTGGGGAAAAGCCACACACCTGTGATCAGTGTGGGAAGAGTTTTGCACATTTAAGTTCTTTTAAATCACATCTGAATTCTCATTCTGGAGAAAGACAATATAAGTGTGATCAGTGTGGTAAAAACTTTTCTCTGGCAAATTCCCTGAAGCACCACTTGAAAGTTCATTTAAAGGAGAAGCCTCATGTGTGCTCTTTGTGTGGAAAGAGTTTTAGTCAGCTGAGTTATTTAAGAAAACACCAGCAAAGACACAGCAATGTGAAGGATCTTAATGTGCTTTGATTGTGGGAATACCTTTATTACAAGTGATGAACTGAAACAGCACCAGAGATTTAACACTGTGACAAGAGATTCATTTGGTCAGAGGCCCCTAGGCTGCTCTTTGTGTGAGGCCCCCCTTAATCATTATGCTTTACTGGAGAAATTCATTTAGTGCCATTACATAGTCCACGCAAATAGTAAGTTGAACTGGCATGCACACTCACATTGAGACAGCCAATCTGACAGTGTTTCCTTTACATTCCCAGTGTCCCCACAGGATTTTGTGGGTGCACATTGGTTGCTCAAGGGGGTTCCAGGGGTATGCCCCCCATAAGAAAATTGTGTTTTCGAGGCGAGATTTTTACACATTTAAAAAAATTCTCAATGACCAAATAGGCTACATGACTGTAAAAATAGTCTGCAGGTGCATTTTGAATTGTTTTAACTAATCATCTGGTAATAAATGTCATTTCAGTTCTACTTTCTGAGTATGAATTATCATATGCAGTAAAATACAACAACATGTACATGTACAACACTATGATTTCATTTGAGTCTCTTCAGACCTTAAAACTGTACATGAATTATGAGCTTCTACAACTGCTGACCTCCTAACTGAACTCCTTTTCACAAATTGAACATAGAAATAAAAACAGTATAAATAACCAAAAATAAACAACACAGTTCGTTCTTAGCTGTATTAAGTGCAAACAATAAGTGCAGCCATAATCAAATAGGCTACTCTCTCAATATTCTATAGACAGCTGCACAACCTATTACATTTACATTTA